ATTTTATTTTATTTCTTTAATGCAAGGAAAACAGAAGGCATAGCCACTAGCTAAATTAAGAAGAACAAGATGAAGACATATGGATAAATGGGAGCCAGCCCTGAGGAAAAACAAATCAGCTTTTAGTGTCCTGGGGTGAGGAAGAGCAAACTGTGATGGGCCATATGTCCTCACCCAACCACAGGAGAGAAGAGGGAGGATTGGGATGAGCAGGATCCTGCACCAAGCACACTTAAGGCCATCCTGGGGCCAGCTCAGCTGCGCTGGGTTGTCCTGCTGGAGGTGCATCCCAAGCAGGGCGAACAGGGATGCTCATCCTCTCTGGAGAGTAGCATTAGAGCATGGACCTTGCAGGGCTTTCCAGGAGAATTTCACAGCCTACCAGGAAAGGCAATGTTTTTGGTGTTTGAAATGAGCTGCTGGTCAGAGAAGGGAGGACTGTGTCATTGGGGGAGGAGAGGAGGAAAACTGAGCATCCCTGGAGCAGCAGAGTCCAGGGACACCACAGAGATGAGAGCCATGATGATGACAAACATACGTGGGTTTTCATGCTTTGGCCTCACTGCCAGCAAGAATCTTTAGAGTTTATCAAAATTCTTAGGCTGTCACAAGTTAAATAACTGGCTTTAGGAGCAGAGGAGCTGGGGGGGCTTCTGTGAGAAGCTGCCAGAAGCTTCCCCAGTGTCAGCAGGGCCGATGCCAGCCAGCTCGAAGGCAGATGTGCCACTGGCCTTCTCTGAGCCCATCGGGGACAGCAGTAGCACCTCCGGGGTAACAGAGTTGAGAAAGGGGAGGAAAAGCTGGCAAAACAGCAAACAGAGACAGGAGTGAGAATATGTGAGAGAAACAGCCTTGCAGACACCAAGGTCAATGAAGGAATGGGAGGGGGTACTCCAGGAGCAGACGGATGCCAAAGGAGGCTGTGGCCATGTGGGAAGCCCACACTGGAGCAGGCTCCTGGCAGCAGCTGTGGCCCCATGGAGAAAGAAGCCCAGCTGGAGCAGGTTTGCTGGCAGGACTTGTGACCCCATGGGGGGCCCAGCCTGTTCCTGAGGAACTGTACCCCATAAAGGGACCCAGGCTGGAGCAGTTTGTGCAGACCTGCAGCCATGGGGAGTTCTCATGCTGGAGAAGCTCATGGAGGACTGTCTGTGTGGGAGGGACCCCACACTGGAGCAGGGACAGCGTCAGAGGAGTCCTTTCCCTGAGGAGGAAGGAGCAGCAGAGCCAACATGCCATGAACTGACCACAGACCCCATTACTTGTCCTCCTGCACCACTGCAGGAGAGAAGGGAGAGAAAATCGGGAGTAAGGTTGAGCCTGGAAAGAAGGATGGGGTGGGGGGAAAATGATTTTAGAATTTGGTTTAATTTCTCATCATCCTACTTTGATTTGATTGGTACTAAATCAAACTAATCTCACCCTATCCTTATCTTGACTCATGAGCCTTTTGTTATATTTTCTATCCCCTGTCCAGCCAAGGAGAGGCGTGATGGAGCTTTGGCAGGCATCTGGCATCCAGCCAGGCTCAGCCCACCACAACACCAAAGCCAATATTTTCTTTCTCTGCAGGACTTTTTCCTCCAAGGACTTGGGTTATTATTGAAGAGACATCAAGTATGTGGAACCTGAATCGGCACCATGTTATGGTGGTATAAAGCCATGGAAAAGCAGAGCAGTGAATCAGGTGCCCAGTCTCAGAAACCCTCATACATTTTCATTCAGGCCATAATGGAGTTCAAACAACTGTTTGGACCACTTAGAAAATGAAGATGAAATGCATAAGGCACCACAAGAGACTTTCAGAAAGGCACACAGCATGACCAAATCCTTCTCATTTTTAATATTTCTATTTCTTCTTCTAAACTTTTTCTTTAAACTGGAAAATAATGAGAAAATGTGCTTCCTTGAGACAAGCCAGTACTATCAGCTAAACAGCCTCACATTCGTCGTAGCACTCCAAGTGCTCTGGAATGCTTTTCAGCCCAGAGGATAATAGTATTAGACGACCAGAAAGGCTGTCCTGTAAAAGACTGTTATTATGATTTCCAGTCTCAGAAGTTGGCTTAATCCAGCTGAGCACACACATGTTATTTAGAGAGGAGACTGAGCTCAGACACTGCTATCACCATCATCTTTATTGCAAATGAAGGGTTCAGCCAGTGAAAGGCAAGTCACGTTTTTTTTGTCCTAAGCCCTGCAAACAGTGGCTGTTGCAATCGTCTTTGCACTCTGCAGCGAGAGTCTGGAGCTGCTGAATGCAGAGCTGTTTGCACAGATTTGCATCTGTCTAAAAACTCCTGTTTTCTCTCTTGTCACCTAATCAATCAAACGGTAAAAGATGCACTCCCTGCACCCTCCAAGGAAAACAGCTCTGTGCCCACTCAAAAGGCAAAGCAAGAGCATAGGGGTTAGCCAGAGGTGGTAAGCTGTGAGCCCTGTAACAGGAGCAATTTTTTTCACTGCTTGAAATTTCATGCTGCTCTTCCTCTGTCTATGGAACAAAAGAAGAAAAGGCAGTGATGCTCTGAATTGGGAAAAAAATAATCTGGGATTGTTCCCTGCATGAGAAAAATATGTTTGGAGGATTACTCAGGGTATTTGCACCTTGGCTTGAGGAGGAAATGCTGCACAGCTTCTCTCCCAGGGTTTAGGCAGAACAGCTCCCTCCCACTGGACTGGTTCTCCCACCCACACTTCCCCAGGTGAGCAGGACCCATCTCACACTGCAGCTTCCCAAGGAGCAGCAGCCAGGCACCAATCCCTGTGGGTCAGCTTGCAGCTGGCACCAGTGCCTGGAATTGCTCGAACCTGCCCATGCTAAAACCTGCCAGGGCCCCTGCTGCCCCATCCCTAGGGTGGGGTGAGCCTTCCCACTCTATCCTTTTTGCTCCAGGGGGCATATTGCATTTCACCACAGAGCACTGGAGTGAAGGCCCCACTTGTGAATATCCAGCACAGAATTCCACCTATTCGTTCTTGCACTGGTAGTGTCTCTGCTAACCGTCCTTGTCAGGGCAGCCTCAGCCACACTTTTGCAAGACAAAACAGCTCAGCCTCCCTCTGTCCTTCCAGTCACCTCCCAAGAAAGGAGCCACTGGGCACTCAGATTCATGCCAGGATGGGAGGGACAGCAGCTTCCTCTCCTTAGTCCCAGGGAAGCAGCTCAAACAAGCTGAACCCCAGTGAGCAGCAGCTCTTCTTGGGCAAGCACTCCTTCCCTGGCACATTTTCCCATGGGAGACAAGCACAGGGACCTTAAAATAAATCTGTCTTTTTAAAGCAGAGATGCTAAATGAAGGTTTGAGATCAAAGGCTGGGATTCTCACATTTTGCCAAGATAGACATATCCATTCACGAGATTTTTGGTGTAACAAAATACTTGCTAATGAAGAGGATCATAATCTCATTATTAGCCTGAACTACCACAGTATGTCATTCAAGAGCGGGTTGGAATATGTCCTAGTTTAGGAAGTTGCACAGTGGGTTTTGCTTTTGATTTAATGAGCTGTGATTGTGTTTATTTTCAGCAGCAACTATGCCCGTTAAAATTTGGTTGAAGGTCTGATCGTTAACGACAGTAATCGACGGAAAGGATGAATTTAGGTTGAAGGGGAGGAAAATGGGAATTGTATGTCTCTGGGACTCAGTCAACACAGTTTGCTGGGATTCAGCAAACACAAGGTGGTCGGGAGAGCCTGAGCTTTCTCTGCTTTCGCAGTGCCTGATGCAGGGTTTTTAACTACTGGTTAACTCAGTTAAGGGGATTCAGACATGAAAAAACAAAGATTTTTGCTGTTATGGAGTGGGGCACAGAGGAGAGTCAGGTGTAGGCAATCAACAGGGGGGGCCAGACTTTCCTTTTGTGGGATGAGCCATGGTGGAACAAGGTCATCAGCTGGCTTTCACTATCAAGATCCCAGAAATTCTAAGATGGAGGGGAAAACGTATCAGTAGTGTGTAACAACTGAACAACCTGCCAGATGAGCAAAATGGAGAAGAAAGGGAAAGATAAATATAAATAGAGACACATACTTTAAAAAAGAACATTGCTGCAGCAGAGCTGGTTGGTGTGGGCTCTGCTGTGGAGTGAGAAGGGGCCCCACACGGCAGGGTTTCCCCAGATGAACCCTCCTCACTGCTGCCTGCCTGGGTAGCTGGAGCTGGCACAATGAGCAAGAAGGGCAGGGCAGGATGGGGCACAACTCAGATCCACCCCCCATCATACTCCTTTTGCAGTTGATGTCTGTGTCTTGGTTTCCAGCCTTACAAAGGATGCTGTGCTTTGTGTTTGACTCCATCAGCCCCAAAGGAGTCCAGCACAGTTTATTTTCCAGCATCAAAGTGCGCACAGGCAGGCATGTGTATGTATGTACAGGCAGGACATCCATAAGGGGTGTGAAGGAAACACAGACATGGACAGACACGTGGATAGACACACATAGCCAGCTGTAGCCTTTAAAAGCTTGCCATGTGCAATATTAGAGTGGTTGTGCCCAGCCTGGACACGGGGCTCAGCCGGAGGCTGTTGGCTTGTGCCAGTCAGCGAGGTGTTTTGTGGAGCAGTCACCGACCAGCAGTTTGTCAGCTCCAGCGCCTGTAAATTCCTGTGGCAAGTGTAAAAAATCAGTCAACACGTTGTTCTATTTTGAAAGCTGGTGTTTTTTTACGACGGCAGTCTGTCTGACGGGGCGCCCCTCTTCTCCGCCCCGGCCTGCGGGGTGCGGGTCCCCTACATCCCCGGTCCCCTCGGGAAGATGGGACGCTGGAGACGACACCCAGGGCCCGCTTGGAGGGGATGGCGATGGGGCAGGAGGACAGAGCCCCAGGGAGCTCCCCCGGCTGCCGAGCAGCTCAAAGGGCTCATTGTGCCCGGGGCTGGGCGGGGCTGCCCTCCCCGCGGGCCGGGGCCGGGGCCCGCAGCGGGGCGGGCCGGGGCGGTGCAGGCCCGGGGCCGGGGCCGGGGCCGAGCCCGGGCAGGTCTCCCTCCCGCGGCAGCCATGGCAGAGGGCTCCGAGAAGGTGCCGATCGCCCGAGTGGGCCCCGACGATGTGGAGCTGTGCCTGCCGCCCGTGAGTGCTGCCGGCTGGCACCGGGCGGGACAGGGTGGCATCGGGACAAAACCTGTGGGCATGGGTTGGGATGGAACGGGAGCCAGCGAGTCGGGACGGGACGGGACGGGTTGGTTTGGGACGGTGGGGAACGGGTGGGGTCGGGACAGGTCGCGATGTAGCGGGCCGGATCGGGACGAAAGGAGTCGGATCGGGTCGGGTCCGGCCGGGGGTCCCGGGGCGGGGTCCCTGCCGGGTCCCTGCTCCACCCGCGCTCTCCGCAGGCGTACGCGGCGGCCGCGCCCCCCGCGCCGGGGCGGCTGCTGAAGGCCGGGGCCGCGGTGCTGATCGCCGGGGCCCTCCTGCTGCTGGCCGGGGCCATCGGCGCCTTCTACTTCTGGAAAGGCACGGAGCGGCAGGTGAGCCGGGCCCCGGGCTCGTCCGCAGCCGGGCCGGGAGGGCGGGCAGCTCCCGCACCTACGGGAGGCACGGGCTGGAAGCGCTCCTTGCGAGGAGGTCTATAAAGAGGTCTTTAAGCAGACCTGTAGGGTTTTTCCTTTCAAAAACCCCCAAACACCTAAAAACCCAAACCCATAATCGCTGTCTTTGGTGGCTGTGTGGATGGAGCTTCCTGGAAGCACATTTATTAGCAAACACGAAACACATCTTTGAGAGCACAGACTGCACATTGATTTCTGCTCACAAATCCTCAGTGAACTCAAACCCCAACAAGTCCCTGGGGATTCACATCCTGGGCAAACTCCAGCTCTCAGGACAAAAAAACATTGAAATGTGTAAATTCTTTTTTCATAGTATCTGCATTCTCAGTCCAGGTTCTACCAGGACCCTCAAGTACATAATACTGTAATTAACCCATTAACAGGCACTGTTAGTTTTGGTGCTTTGTATACTGTGCGTACACTTAGGTTTGCAGCTGTGGAGCAATTTTTAAAGTTAAGTTTTATTATTTACAGTTTCTGGGGTGCATGAGAAACACTTTATGCAAAGAATGAAACTGAGAAGCTGGTGATGAGTTAAAGACTCAAACTCCAGAGCATTATAACATGTTTACAGATGAATTTTTCTTTCTGTTTACACAGAATCTGTGTTTAAAACATATTTGAAACATGAGGGTACGGACATGACTGTACCATTCTCCATAAATTAAATTAGTACCTTTGAATTTACTTTGGAAGAAGTTTTGTACTGCCTCTGGCCACACGCCAGCCCTCATCAAGGAGAGCCTTGTGTGAATTCCAGCAGCCAGAGCAAAGGTGGCCCTGTGAGATACACCCCTACACACAGGGATAATTCAGATAATCAGAAAGAAAAGTACAAGGTTTTACAGCAAAAAGACAGGACACATTGCTGACCTCTAAGACGTGCTGCAAGAACTGTGTGTTTCTCTGGGCTTTTGAAAAGGGAGAGGGATGCAAATGGTGGCATAGGCAGGGGACAGTGCTTTCAGCTCTGAGCAGGTAGGTGCATTTGTGGAGTACAAGATAATGCTTCCCTTTTTTAATGCTCCTGTCGTCTAAATTCAGCCATACAAAATATGTCACATTCACAGTTTCCATTAAGCTGCAAAGCTGCTCTCTAGGCGAAGACACTGGGAAAGCTGAGAGTTATTTTTCCAAGCTGCCTTCATACTCAGAATGCTGCACTTGAGTTGCAAATGTTTAGGAAGCAACTGCAAGAATTATATCCAGGGTAATTAATTTTAAAAAACTAACACAATTTTAAAATTCTTGGTTTTATTTTATATCTTTAAATTCTTCCCTAAATGACAGGGGTATCAAAGTCTCAACTCTAGTTCAGCCCCTGTCAGGGGGAGACCATACACTGGTCTGGTTTTATGGACCACTCTCAACAGGAGTCCTAGAAAGCAGAAATATGGGAGTGACTGTGTATAACTGAGGAACCATAAATCTTTAGCACCTTAGACTTCCCTGAGCGAAGGTGAGAGAAGAAGAAATTTGTCTCTAGCTGTCAGTGTAAATTTTTCATTAAAATGCTGTAAGGGCTTTTTTAAGACCCAAAATAAACTGCTTGTGCAGCACTTTTAGCAGAGCTGCACAGGAGAATCACAAAACCCCTCCACAGATTGTGGTCCTCCAGCAAATACAAACCACTCCGTAGCTCTCCTCATTGAAAATAGGATAAGGGCAAATACGCTGACAAGGAAAATACCAGCCTATACAACTTCACATCCAATTTAAACAAAGTTCACATCCATTACAAGCTGGGAAGTGTGTTCGTATTCAAGAGGAACCTGTTTTTGTGTGCCTCAGCAGAACATCCTAACAGATAAACAGGGCTTGGCTTCCTTCAGAGCAGGACATTCACGCCTGCTGTCCTTTGGGAATCATGCTAGCATAACAAGAAATTCCTAAATGTCCTAGAAGAGGGTTTTTAGGCCAGAGTGAACATGGATGTGGACTCCCCCCACATTGTTTTTGAAGCAAACTATAAGCACTCCCTGGAAGGGAGATCTCAGATCTCTAGTCCTACTTGATGCTCAGAACAGGGACAGCCGTGGGGTCAGAGGTGGCTGCTCAGGGCTTTATCCAGTCAGGCTGTGAAAACTTCCAAGGATGGAGACCGAACAACCTCTCAGGACTGGCTGCCCCACTGCCAGCTGACCACAGTGCTGAAGTAGTGCACTGTTGGTTGCTGGAGGGTTATCAAATGCCCGCACCAGCAAAATTTGGGAGCTAAATAGGGATATGAGAGTCAGATTGACCATTGCCTGGTGTAGGAGGAAGGCAGTAAGTAATTACTGGCATGTGCTACCGCTCTTTTATTGATTCCAGGTGTACAACGTTCACTATACTATGAGCATTAATGGAAAAGTACAAGATGGATCAATGGAAATAGATGCTGGAAACAACTTAGAGACATTCAAAACAGGAAGTGGGAGTGAAGAGGCAGTTGAAGTCCATGATTTTCAGATCGTAAGTAGTGCCACTCTTGTCCTTCATGTAACACACTCCAGTGCTGGATGCTTAAGGACACCTTGTTCTGCCCTGACTTCTCTGCCCCACTTAGTCTCAGGTTCCAGCCTCCAACCATCCACACAAACATTTTTGCTGTCCTGGCTTGCATTCCCAGGGAGACAGGCAGTTTCCTCCAAAACAAAAATCAAAGTGCTTTTTGGAGATCAGCCATGCCAGGTACCACTCCAGGAAGTGGTGTGGATTAGGCTGCATCGGGTTTGACTCCATGTAAATACTTTGCATTTTCAAACCGCTGAGCAGAGATGTGACATGAGACCTTGGGGTCTAACTAGGAAAACATTCTGTCAGGCTGTGACACAACTCTCTCACGATTTCATGTGGTTTGAAGTGACAGAAACACCTTCCCAGACATCCCTGTCTGAGGAGCAGAGGGTCAATACAGTAAGACAAGGAGACACTGAGGAGAGACCACTCTGCAGTGCTTGACTTGGGGAGCTTCCTTTGCCCTGAGGTCAAGGATGGGAGCTGCTCTCCATGGCTTGGCCTGGTTTCATCCCCATGGCAGAGGATGGAGGCATTTGGCACAGTTTATGCATCTGTGCACCAATGCCAGGTGTGGGCCCCTCGGGCTGACAGCAAACACACTTGGGCACCCCAGCAACTTGTGGCTACTCAGCAGGGCCTGAACTGACAGATGCCAAACCTCAGCAGAGCTCAGCAGCTCGGACAGAGCAGGTCTCTGAGCTGCCCTGAGCTACTAAGGCACATCTATGTGATGCTGCACAAACCCATCACAGGGCCCAGAGCCTGCAGTTAAATGTTCTCAGGTGCAAAACAGCTTCAGAGTTAAGCCCTCTGCAAGTCAAAGCAGCACCTAAAACAAAGGCGCTGCTGCTAGGAAGCCTCTCTGCTTCTGGAGCAGCCACCTTTCCCTTGCTGCATCTAGAAAGGCAAGGAAATCCAGCTCCTTGGCTTTTGAGCAAGAACAAACAAACCCATGCCAGGAGATGCTGGACCCCCAACTTCCCCAACAGCTGTGGTTCTGCCTTTATGCAACTCTCATTAGCATCACCATAGCAACATTATCAGCAGCTGAGTAAGAGCATCCACAGCGAGCTCTTCTCATTTGCCTTTGCCATTTCACATCTGCACAGAAGCACAGTCCACTGGAGAGATGCTGAATTCATGTTTGCTCCACGTGTTGCTGCCTGTGAGATACTGCCTGTCACAGCCAGGTTACAAATCAGATCCCAACACCAACCAGCTCAAGGGACCTCCCAGGGATGGTGCCTGCTTGTCATTAAAGAGGGCCAGGGACAACCTCAGCAAAGGGATGATGCCACTTGGGTTTTCAGCCAAGAATGCACACAAAGGAGAAAGCAACTGAAGAGATGGGCTTCCAACGGACTGGTATTTACATTAACAGTTTAGGATTGACTGGCACTGCTGGAATGACTGCGTGGTCAGAGAAGGCTTGGATTTGGCAATATAGGGTACTCCTAGAACACCTGGTATACCACAAAGCCTTATATCCTAATGCATCCATCCTTGAATAGCCATCTCCTCTCTCACTGCTTTTTGTAGTCATTTTGTTGTGACAGAGCTGTGTCCTGTAGCTACACAGGACCTGCAGACACACAGAACATGGCTCAGGTGCCCCAGCACCATCCCATCTCATGCTGCACTACATGACAGTCTGCTGAGTTGGAAGGGACCCACGAGGATCATCAGGTCCAACTCCTGGCACAGCACCATCCCAAGTGTCACACTGTGTGCCTGAGAGCACTGTCCAAATACTTCTTGGTCTCTGCCAGGCTGGTGCTGTGACCACTTCCCTGGGGAGCTGTTCCAGCGCCCAACCACCCGCTGGGTGAAGAACCTTTTCCTGATACCCAACCTGAACATCCCCTGACACAGCTTCAGGCCTTTCCCTTGGGTCCTGTCACTGCCACCACAGAGCAGAGGTCAGTGCCTGCCCCTCCTCTTACCCTCACCAGGAAGCTGTAACTGCAACAATGTCTCCCCTCAGTCTCTTCCAGGCTGAACAGGCCTCAGCTGCTCCTGACACAGTTTCCCCTCAAGGCCCTTCACCATGTCCCCCTCCTTTGGACACCCCCTAACAGTTTCATGTCTGCCAGTGTGGCACCCAACACCGCACACGAAGACATCCATGATACCCCTTCAAGGCAGATGAGAGGGGTCATGCTGACACCCACACCCCTTTCTCCTGGCAGCTAGAGGCCAGGCAGAAAACCAGCACAACTTAAAGAACACTAGGTAATTATATTTAGGTGGTTGACTTGTGCAATCGCATGAAAAACACAACAATTTTGCCATTTACAACGAGGTATCTAAATTTATAATGTAGAAGAGAGCTTTTTTACGGATACTCAAAGCCTACAGTAAAAACGTAGACACTACAGACAATGGCAAGATGTTGATGCCCAAGGTTCTGGCATGGGCTGGAAGGTATGTCCCAGGACTTGCAGGAAACTTGCTCCTTCTCTTGCTCAAAACTAGACATCTATGGTTTATGCAACTGCATTTCACCCTAGTAGGCCAGACAAAGTCCCACACACAGATTTCTGCACCAAACTGCCCGTCACAAACTTCCCTTTGCCGTCACAGTCACTTATTTGTACAGACTGAAACAAACTGCCCCCACATTTTTGTAAAACTGTGTCACAAGGGTACCATGCCACCAGCTAGCACAGTTTCAAGACTGCCTACGTTAGGTGCTAAGTTACAGTTCAAATCATGTCAACTAATTCCTTAACAGAGCTACTCCAGGTAGCCTACAGCCTGCATGGAAGCACTTACATAAAACACCCCCCCACTTTGAGAAATCAAGCAAAAACTTCCAGACCAATTTGACCAAAATTGTGAAGCTAAAATGATGAAGGGAAGAGCGTTTTCTTGCTTCTGGTTTTAAATAAGGTTACCCTTCAGACTGAAAACTCAGTGGCAATTTTAGCAGAGCTGAGGCACTTTCTTGGGGGTGGTGAGGAGCTGGAGGGCTGTGCACAACCCCCTGCCTTCTGCTTTTGCAGGGCATAACTGGGATCCGTTTTGCTGAAGGAGAAAAGTGTTACATCAAAGCCCAGCCAAAAGCTCACATCCCTGAAGTTGATGCTATGGCTAAAGCGAGCCTCTCATCTGAGCTGGTAAGGGGTAATTTGTTGGGTTTTTTTAACTAATCTTTGTATAGAGAGAGCCTAAAGGAGGTACTTAAATACAAATAAAAGTGGCATTTGGAAGCCACTCTGGCTCATGGTAGGGACAGGGTGGGATAGCTGGGATTCAATGACTGGTTGCAAGAAGTCCCTAAAAGGTAAGAAAAACAAGGTTGGTGTCAAGACATGTCACTGTGTCCAGGGACATTGTGAGAGGCTGCAGATTAGTGAGCAGGGAAGCCACAGACTTCTGTGATTTCTGCCAGATCCACAGGAGATCTCCGTGACAAGAGCACCTGCCTGGGACCAGGCTGTGCACAAGGCTGGAAGGGAGGGCCTGGAAGAAGCAGCTGCTGTAGTCAATGCAAAGGAGGACTGTGGTAGATCCCAGGAGATTTCTATCAATGCTCTTGAGCAGAAACATGAACTCCATCACTCTAGACAGTAAAAAGGGAATTGTGGAAAACATGGCAAAATTTAAAATATTTCAGAAGAAATAATTTATTATAAAAAATATGACTTAGCCTTCTTAGCATAAAACTTAATTTTACATGTTAATTAAATTTCATAGAATTTGCATCACAACCAGCACAGAAGCTGCAGCTCTCACCCAGATACCACCAAATCTCCTCACATTTGCCCAAAAGCCAACTGCTTTATGTGCTCAAAGCCTGAGTTTCCCAGAGCCCAGACCCCCAAAGTTATTGCTTATACAGGAGTGGCTCCAGTGACTTGAGTCCAGCTGAGGCTGGATGCAGCTGGATGCTCAGTCACTGGCAGGAGAGCACAGGGGATCCACAGCCCCTTTCCCTGGGTTTGCTCTGCTCTTGGGACAATAAAAGCAAGTTAGTGGGGAGAGTGGCGCTGTTAAGGCTGCACCTCCCTGCAGTACTGCTGTGACTGCTGAACATCTGCTTTAAAATTAAGGGGAAAAAGATCTTTCCTAATAGAGTCAGAAAGGCTGACAAATGTTACAAAGCCTCCTGAAGCTGGCAGGATTTTCCCCATGATGGGAAAGAGAACTTGCACGAATTCCAGAGAGTTCCATCTTTCCTGCCTTGCCTAATTTTAAAGGCAGCTGGCCTTGACTTAATTAGCACTACTGCTTGGAGTCAAAGATTGAATTTTTCATCTTTTTGTAAAAACGAAGTCACAGACATGAAGACATTATCCTAAATCATCAAAAACTTATTTCTAATTCTACCTGCTGACAGTAAAATTATTTCCTTGTCCTGTTTTTTGTGCATCTTCTCCCAAGATGCATCACCTGTGTGACTGTTGCAATGAATCACATGCACCAAGCAGCGCAGAGCTACTCCTAAGACATTAACTTTTCCCCCTCACTCAATTTTCCAGGCCAGATGTACTACAGGACTGGCAAAGTAGTATTTATTTTTCTGGGCCAAGTCATCTCTCTGATATGGAAGTATTTAGGAAAAAGTATGCATATGCTGTTTTCCTGCAATGGGCATCACAGCAACACTACCTACAGAAATTGTTGAGTAAATGAGTTTTATAGAAACCCACGTTCTGGCTGCTCACAAGTCAGGATCGTTTCAAACAGAAACAAAGGATATTTTTATTTCTGAAAATTAGAGTCAGATATTTCTGATGTTGATAAAAGCTTAAGTGGGAGAATGTAAATAAAGAGCAGTAGACAGATTGGATAGCAAACTTAAATGACTTGAGACCTACAAAATAAATCAATAAACGCTAAAGAAACAACAACTCAAGGGAATAAATGGATCTAGTCAGTTATATAACAAGTCTTGATGACTTTTATGAAAGCAATTTAGAATTTTAACTTTGAAATCATGCTGGTTTTCATGATTCAAAAGTTAGTTTTCTTTTAATATTTCACCGTTGCTATAAAATACTTACACATTTTATGTAAAATAATACTTTGAACTAACAACTTTAAAGAATCAATCACTGGCATTTTCCTACATTACTTTGAAGATATGAACCAAAAACCTGCAGGGTACACTTCAAAAAGGCAGACTCCTTTAACTTGCACTTCAAGCTTTTGGTCAATTGAATTGCTTTTACCAAACAAGACCTTTAATCAGACCGATCACATTGACTTAAAACTGGAAGCTGGAGCAGTTCTCAAGCTATAATCTTCTCTAAAACTTTTGAACAAGATTCCTCCCCTCACCCCCCCATATACACGTTGTAAATAGAGTTATATATTGGGAGTATGTCAAATGAGAACAGGGCATAAAAAAAGATGAAGGACTTGAGTTTTGCTGGTATTCCATTGCTGCTTTGCTGAAGGTGGTAGAACTTTGGTTTCCAGCACCTGAAATCCTGGTGCTTTGGGCTGAAAGAACTCTATCACCCAGCCCTCATGCATGGGGCAGAAGCCTTCCAGGAGTGAGATGGGTGAAATCACAGCCCCAGCAAAGCTGACAGAGGCTTTGCCCTTCATTTCAGTGGAGGCAGCCTTTCCCCAGGCTTTGGCTCAGCACGATTCCCTCACATTGATGACATAGAAGGATGCTCGGCATTAGCTGCAGCGGATAATTATACAGTTTGGTGCTCAAGAATTAGCAGCGAGCAGGCACATGACTGCTCACTGAGCAGCAAAGGATTTATGCTCTTCTATTTGCAGGAAGATGAAATCATGCCTGTGAGATTTGACAAAAACTCCCTTATCTGGGTGGCTGCAGATGAGCCTATCAAGCATAACAGCTTCCTAAGCCCCAAAATTCTAGAGCTTTGCAGGGATCTTCCAATTTTCTGGCTGCGACCAACATATCCCAAAGGTAACATTTCTTTTATTTGAAAAGTATGTTATCCCTCCCTTCATCTAAATGCCTTCCCTTCATCAGGTCTGCTACTGAAACTAGCACATCTGGGAAACCAGACTCCTTTCCTCCCTTGCCCACGCCTTCCTGGGCTTGAGCCAAGATTGTGGGTTTGGAGTTTATCCCCTAGATATTTTCCATCCTTGTATTTACTCAGACAATTTGCATAACCCAAGTGGGTGACTTGCTAGGAAATGAAACATTTCCAGAGAGGTTAGTCTACTTCTAGAGAAGGACAAGGCAAGAGCTTAAACTAGCCCCCTCAATGTGTAGGCAGCTGACACCAGGTAACAGGTGTCAGGAGTCTGGGACCATAGCCTGTCCTGTTTTCTACCCTGCTTCCCCAGAGGAATTCAGTGGAGTGGAAGCAAGATGCTTTAAGCCAGCCAGCTGGTGGGTGGTTTATGAGACCCGGGGGCAGTCCCAGCTCTGAACTTGGGGCCCAGAGGCAAGCTTAGCAAAGGTGTTCAGGAGTCACCAGGAAGATGGCAATTCCTCCGGGTAACTTCCACGCTTCAGAGGAGAGAAGGCTCAAAAATATGTATTCCTCCTTGGTCCAGTTAATATCAGAACACTTGGGTGGGACAACGTGTGAAAAAAAAAAATTACCACAGTTTAGAACACCTGTGGACTAAGCACCAAGCTACCAATATTTTCCACTTCCCTTGCATATCCCACTGGCCAACAAAAAAACAGTATCAAAGCTGTCCAGAACCAGATATCCTTGAGAGCAGGGCACCATTCCATCATAAAAGCATTTTTTAAAATAAGTGAGATGTGAACAGCTGGTCTTGCTAGTGCTGTTAACTGCTGCTGGGTTAGTGACCACAGGCTGGGTCAAAAAAGCCCCAACAAATCTCAAATTTTGCCTTAAGGAGAGAATGGGGGTGGGGGGGGAAAGGCAATCACACTGCTTTGGACTGGCATTGGCTGCAGACAAAATGGAGGAAGGCAAGCAGCTCCCATGGCGATGCACGTCAAGTTTGCCAAGGTACAGTTTTGGCTTTCTCTCTGCCCTCCATCCTCTCCTTTTTTAATATTTAAAGAAATCACTGAAATATTAGGTAACTACAATGACACACTCAAGGTAAGATTGTCCCTTGGTGATTATTTCTTCAGATAACCAGAGGAGACAAATGAAGAGAAACAAGCGCCAGTCAGAACCAAACTTCGATGAGGAAGACTTGGAAGCTGCTTCTGAAGAAGTAAACCCCAGGTCACGCACCGTGCAGCTGACTCAAGAGCTTGGCCACCAGACTAATGAAACCAGGCCAATGGCACAAGAAACTGATCAAACATTTAATCCAGACAACCCATACAACGTGAGTATTTACACTGCATTCTTCCTTCAGAGCTCAGGACTGTGTTGGACAGGTAACACTGGTAATGTGGGGCTTGTCATTTTTTTTTTTAATCTGCACAGTCTTTGCTTTTTCAGCTTTTCTATGAAATAATAGACTTGTAAAACACCTAAGAAGCTCAAAAATGTCTTCCCTCTATCCTCTTCTCCCTTCTTCTTCAGTTTTAGAGTTCTGAAACAAGTCTGAAACAAGCACAAGTGCTTGAGATCACAAGGTTAAGGCAAGTTGATGCCGAGTTTCTTTTTGAGGTTTCCAGATCCATATGGAAACAGCACTGGAGATGTGACAAGGGTAGCACCTTCTCGAAACAAACCAAAGCTGGTCTTGATCAGACAACTGAGACCCATCATTTACTATGTGAAGAGAGTCCAGTAGCTAGAAACATGCTTTGCTCTCAAACAGAAATTAGTACCAGACATGACTGCTACAGGGGAACACAGCAGAAGTGTCTGGGTGCAAAGAGATAAAGGTTCAGCCAAATAAATTTCTTGCTCAGCCTCTCCTCTGTGAGGGTAAGCAATCCTAGACTGGCAATAACCTGACAGAGAAGAATCTGTTTTGAGACAGCAGCAGTGGGTGGAGGATGACTGTTGTAAAACTTGTTCTCACCCTTCAAGAAGCAGCAGCCCCCAGAAAGAGCAGAGGAGCCACCCTGCTGCGTCCCAACACCTCTGCCACGCTGCAGGAACACTGGCTGTGCAGGAGGCACCTTCCAGTCTGCTGCACCAGCGCCAGACAATTTACACCCACCATTTGGTGCAGCAGGAGTAAGTCATTTTAATACAACACTGTCACAAGATAAATGCCTCCTGCTTTGGAAGTAAGTCCCAGCTTTGACTTGACATTTATGCAACAGCAGGAGATCATTATACTGTGACAGCATTCTGCCGAGTTGACATCCCTTAATTAAACTTAAATTAATCACTCCAAATAAAGTGGATCTATATCGACTCTCTCACGAGGTCAGTTAAACAGCAGTGGCACTGGAATGTAGCTTCTCCTCACAGCCACTAAGGTGACCATCTCCATGAGGTCTGAGCTGCCCTGCCTCTGGAGGCACAAGTGCCACAGGTCTGCTCTTCCAGCCAGGGGCAGCCAGGCCAAATGGAGAAGGGCCAGACAGAGGCAGCCATCAGGCTTCCCTCAGCCTGCAGGGCGGGGTTTGCCCTCACCAACGGCTCCTGCACCCATGCCTATCACCAGGCTTTCTTGGAGCCAGCCACTGGACTGACAAGCACCATTCATTATGCTCCAGGCCTTTCCTGAAGGATGAAATGAACCCTCCCTAGAGCTATTTCTCTTTACTCACTGTAAGTGGAGCCTGGACAATGAGCTCAGGTGATGTTCATGGTGCAGGTATCTGAATTCAAGGATGATGAATCCTAATCAAGAAAACATCTTCCCTGCTCTCAGGACTGGGAAGGAGTTGCTGGGGTCCCTAAAAACACCCAGCTGTCACTAGTGTCCTGTGCAAGCCCAGACAGGGGGTGGCACCTTTCTGTGTCACTTTTTTTGTTGTGCCACTACTTTCCAAAAATGAATGACAAATGCTTAGGTAAAAAGCTGACTGGTACTTCAGCATTTGTGCATTACTGCTGCTTTTCTTGAAGTAACACCAATGGGCAAAGAACGGCCCAAGTTTCCAAAAGCAGAATATCAGGTTACCTTTCTTTCCCCAGAAATGAGGAAAGGAATTTTGAAGGGTAAAGGCTTTTAGATATTTTGTGCATGCTTTACTCCATATAACTCCTTACTGTCAGCTACAGAACAGGCACAATTCTCACTGTCAACAATGCACCTAAGTGTAGTGGGGTGGGAGGGAAGGAACCAGACTCAGAGACAAGAGCCAAATCCTCAGGAAACTGCAGGGGACCAGAGGAATAGTTTCCTAAAAGGGCTGTAAAAAGCATTAAAATACAGAATCTAAAACTAATCATAAAAACCACATCATATATTTCAGGAATTCTCACCTACATTAAAGATTCAGGTAACTATCTTGAAATCATTTCTGTCACTAATATTTAAAGTTTGGGAGGAGCTTACTGTTGCTGGAGCTTTTGCAAGGACAGTAGAAGAAAAATAGCAAAGTTAAAGCTGCCTGTTGCTCTTTCCATTTTGCAAGGGTGATCGCACCAATTCTATGCTTCTGCCGAAGAGAGCAAGTCAAAAGAAAAAATAATAAAGCAAGATGCATGGGACACTTAGCGGGAGTTTTGTCAGCTTCCACAGCCCAAGACTGCAGGTTTTACCCTTTGTGGGGTTAAGGGGAGCATGGATGTATTCTGCCATTCCATGAGAATGAGAGCACTGGGATGACATTTAACATTTCACGTTCCAGCAGCTGGAAGGCGAAGGGATGGCCTTTGACCCCATGCTGGATCACCTGGGCGTGTGCTGCATCGAGTGCCGGCGGAGTTACACGCAGTGCCAGCGGATCTGCGAGCCCCTCATGGGCTTCCAGCCGTGGCCCTACAACTACCAGGGCTGCCGCAGCGCCTGCCGCCTCATCATGCCCTGCAGCTGGTGGGTCGCGCGCATCATGGGCGTCGTGTGAGCAAATCCCTCCACCAAAACAAAACCAACTCAATGGAGCCTTGACAAAATGAGCAGGAATACAATGAACTGTAAAAGACTAAAACCAAAGCAGCCGTACCGATCCTGCCTTACAAAATCAGAGCCTGTTTTTCTGCACCAAAAGCAAGGTCAGATATTCCAGCTGCAAATTAAATGCTCAAGTTAATATTTCATTAGCTTTACAAGAGGCAAGGGTACAATAGCAATTGCTGAATTAAAAAACTGAGACTTCCCAAAAAAAGACAACATTAAACTTTGCTCAAAATTGGTTTAGCAGTCCAGAAGCTTGCCCATATATCTAAATTCATCCTTTCAAAACAAACGCCTCTCTTTCCAAGCTATATGTGAAAATTTACACCCAATTAAGCAACTAGCTCAACTTGTACACTTGGGAGTGCCTTTAATCCATGTAGCTTACTTAAATAAATCACAACTTAAGTTGCTCCCTGTTGCTATTCAGAGTTGCCAGGTCATTATGAATGGTTATAAACCAATTACAGCATACCTTTCCCACAAAGCTGCTCCAGGGGACACGGGAAAGCGCACATTGTGCTAAATCGGAAACAAACAGCAGGAAAAGGGGCTGTGGAAGGGGATGTGAGTGGCCACAGAATCAAAACCCTTTGCACATCCCAACATCAAAGAAGCCCCAGCATCAAGAATCCTGTATCCATGATACCACTGTAGTGTCTAACAAGTATCTGCTATCCAGCTACTACAGCAAAAGTATTTACATGCAGTTACAGACCAAGGAGTCTCAAGACCCTTCAGAATGTACAACAGCCACTGTTATTTATAAATCCTTGAACTAGACACTTTTGACACAAGATTACAACCCCTCTTTATTTCACATGGATAGCAGCCATTCACACCAGTTCCTTTAGTTTTGCTGAAGCTCACATCCCTTCCCCACAAGAGAAACTGTTTACCAGAAGGGAGGGGGAAAAAAGAAAAGCCTTTTTGCTAAGGCAAACTCTGCAATTATTTGGATTGATCCCATTACACATTAAATCTCTAAGGAAGGTACTAAGCTGAAACACTCAAAGGTGGAACAATTTAGTATTTCTAGCCTTGAAAAACAAAATTAGTGGTATTACACTGCCTTTATCCATACTATGTATCTTGAACCCTACCTTCAAGTTTATGGAGCCATCTACATGATCTTTATTTACAAAATGGTTCAGCTTTTCCTACAGTCTGCTTTCTGGAGCATTCATTTTTGTGACTAAACAGCTCTTGAGATGTTGCAAGCCCAGTAATGTTATTAACACTGCGTGACACACAGAAAAAGAGGAATTAATTTGACATAATCGTGGCTTAAAGAAAATAAAGACAACCTCATGTGGAATGCTAAACTGCATAACTGAAAAGCAAAGTGTTAAATGAGAATAAGATGAGAGTAGAATTCAGTATTTTGTTCTATTGTAGCTTTTTAGTATAAACTTCACCTTCCCTTAATCTGAAGGACAGACTTGCTTTGAAATATTTAAATTATAAACTTCTTAAAGTGAGATTTCAAGGCCTGTTAAATTTGAGTTTCTGCTTTTTAAACTGGAAATGACCTTGATCATTATGTTGTTTTAGAAGTACATCTATCATATGCTTAGAAAAGTCAGTTTTCCTTTTTTTTTTTTACTGCAGATTAAACAAACACATTAAAAAAAACCCAGTTGCTTTCTGTGTTTTTTTCAATGTAGAAGGTGTAACAATTCTTTCACATACTCGTTAAAGAACTGTCTGAGGAGGAAAAGAAGGGCATCAGCAAGTGAAACACTGGAGGCAAAGAGAGAGAAATGTGACTGTGTGTATGTCTGAACTAGACCGTTGCTCTCTTTTGCATCTTGAGGCAACCTGTCATCTGCTTCTCTCTGTGTCCCCCAATAAAACAGCCTCCTTCTGAAGACACAAAACCAACTTTCTGGTAGGTGATTTCCATGTCTACACATACTTAACAGAATTAATTTTTAACAAAAGCTTGTAATCATTTGCTTTCCATAGGCAGTCACAAAGCATGTAAGAAGTAAAAACAGCATCCTGCTCATGGATATAGAGCTGTCACATATGGCATGTACGTCTCAAGAACATGTCTGTGCACACCATGCCACAAAAACCACAGTGACCATAACATTTATCCATTTCCAAGAGGTAGGAAACAAAATGCCTCCTCCAACTCAAGCTTCTAGTGAGCAAATTCCTATTTACATTCATATTGGATTCAAAGAGAGAAAAGTAAAGATCTCATGCTGCAGCAAGGTTGGAAAAAAACAATCTTCCCTTCAAAATCTGATTTTGAAGGAAAAGTTCTGAGACAACACAGGGATAGCAGTAAAACCAAAAAGCCATCAGTGTGAAAAGATGTTGTGATATTCCCTGAGGTTGTGGCTGAGACTCCAGCTCTAACCATCCAGAGTGATCCTTTCACTACCGTACACTATTTAGTACCAGTAAAGGAGTAAGTTTCTCACTGCCATCACAAATGTCATGCCTTGGCACACTCAAGAGGTTACAACATATCATCATTTGGGGAAATATGGAGCAGGGTGTTCCTCGAACCTGACCCCGGGCCAGCAGAAAACAGCTGAAAGCCTTCCTTTGGCCAAAGTTTAGGGAAAGAGAAGAGGAATGAGTTTGTCATCAGCAGTGTCTCCCACCACAGGTGGGTGTATGTTTGTCACAGCACTGCAGCTCCACTACTATCCTTAAAACTTAATTACCCATGTGATTCTACTAGGAGGATTAGAATGGCAGAGCAGATTAGAGCAGAAAAAGGGGATAAATTCAGGCTGGTGAAAAAGAGATGGAAAACAGGGAGCAATCTCATATGGTTAAATAGATGGAAAGCCAGAGATGGGAAGGCAGAAGGAATCTTTTTACTAAATCTAGTTTCCTTTCTCCCCACTTAAAACAAATGAGGCCTTTGTCTTTTTTCATACAGGAATCACCCTCCACTTGTATCTACATTGAAAAAGCAAAAAGCAGCTGGGAGCCATGGGGGGATGTGGCTTCTACCTCCCATGTAACACTTCACCCCTACTGCAGCACAAAAAAATTCCCAGAAAGTTTCAGTGAAGAACAGACTAAGCCCTTGTCCCATGCAGTGTGGGGAAAAAAAAAAGTAGTGAAGCATAAAACTACAGCTGGCAATGAACTGATTGCTGATTGACATGTCTGGGTGGAGAGAATCTCTGCTCAGAAAGGGCAAAAGAGAGACTGAACCAGGAGCACCATCTTCTGCTTCTGAGAGGCTCAGCTGGCCTTTTACAAATCCACATCTACAAACTGGTCTTCCACAATCACATATATCAAAGATGAGAGAGGCAGCCTTAAGCTGCAGCAGGCATCTTCCCCAAGAGCAGGAGCAGAGAGCAATCCCATCTATGGTATTAAATGGGCACTGTTACCTCTTGCTGTCCTCTTCCAGTATTTCCATCAGTACACAGATCACTGAGGTCATCACTTCACTTCAGAGCACTGAGGTGACACTGCCTTGGCCTTCCAGACAGCACTATGTACAGATGACCAAAAGGCTTAGGGAAAAAACCCTCAAGTAATTTGAATGCAATTAAAATATCATCCACTCTGTCCTTGCAGGCAGTTCCCTTCCTCCAGCCAACTCATTATCAGTGCTGCTACATATTCCCCTCACCCTCTCCAGTCCCAAAATTCCCTTTGTCACTGGTTTGTTTTTCAGAACCTCTATTCAACGCCCAAGCTACTGCCAGCATTCTCGTGATCTACAGCTTCTGGTACCATTTTGTGTGTGTGTGTTTTGACAAGAACAAAACACTCTGTTCATGAAGCACCTTCCCCCCCAGCTTTCTAAGGAAATTTTGCCTACTGATTTAATCCAATCCCCTCCAAACAAAAAACCCAATACCTCTTCCCCCCACACACACTCCCCTCCTACCTATAAGGCAACAAGACATGCCATTATGGATTAACCTTAACTTGAAGGAGGAACACACACAGATTATCTGCTGGTGCTCAGAAACATGCTGGAATTATGTCTAGACCTGCAAACTTGGTTTACAGGATTGAGATGGACAGAGAGCTCTACCACTTGATTGCTACAAGTTTTAGCCTGAAGCTAAAGCATTATATTTGCATTACATATGCCTCAAGAGTACGTAAGTAGCAATGCATTTAATTTTACTTTTTGCCTTAAGCTAAGTGAATTGAATCTCAAAGCAGTGAAACAGTACCCACTTAATACAACAATATATTGTGTTTATCTGACATAATGCTCCCATGGTCTTTCAGTAAGCAAAGACAAGGGAACCTCTGCTACATTCTCTTCAGTAAGTAAGAGCAACTTGATTGGCAGAAAACATCTTCAAATTATTTTTTAATTTCTATTTAAGAGATGTTTACCTAGGCTTTTCCCCACAGCAAGCCTTTTCTAAGCTCTGTTAAGTACTCTGAATGACATTTATAAAGCAAGGCTGGCCAAGAGACAAGAACCCAATTTTGTGACAAAGTGAAGCACTCAGACGTTTGTCTTCCTTCTACATTAAAAAGAAAGAAATGCTTTTGCACATAAATAAAAAGCAGCAAAGCACTTATCTGGGAGAGTGGAGTTCAAGTACCTATTCCAAATCAAATCAACTCCAATGTTAGCATCCCATATGGATGGGCAAATGCTCTACATATCGAGCAACCAGCTACTCAGAATTCTCTGAAGGTCAAGAAAAACCCCACACCAAAGCTAAAAATTCTTCTTTGAAACATGTCCCAAGTTCATGCTTTGAGAAACTTCCAAGAAGCAGACACTGTTCAGTAAATGTCAAGAGGTAAGGCACACAAAACCCTTCCTAAATCCCATCCAACTCGGTTCATTGCATTCGAAGAGCAGGGTAACACTGGGTTCTGAAGGTTACCAAATTTGAACTTTGGAAAACATATATCAATTCTGAAGCCAGAAGTGAGGCAAAAGAAATCACTGCCCAGCCTGCACTGCATCATCGTGATCTCAGTGCATCAAGAAACTGCAATTATGTCAAGACTTGTAGTCATAGTCTACATCCAAAAAATCCCTCTCTTTTTAACATTTGTAAGATTTTAAAGCCTCAGTATCTCTCTACTGCACAAGCACAGTAACAGTAGTGGAGAAAAGCCACTGTACTTTCCCAGCATTACTGCAAAATCTCAGCAGGAACAGAACAGATCCTTCCTTCCTCCTCTATAATTTTCAATCATCATTTAATACGTAACAGCTGCAGACTTCACTCATGCTATTAAAAACACCTGTTCTAACAGCCTTTCTATTTTACCAAGCTCATCCAGTTGACACTGTAGGAAAATAACACGACCAATACAAAAACAACAGGCAGAATAACAAATGGTCTGGAAAACCCCACATCATTAGGAAAGCAAGAAAAAGTAGCAAACTTAAAACAGCATCCAATGGTTATTAGCAAGGAATGAAGTTGCTTTCATGGCGCTGTCAATATTTGCAATTCATGGTGTTTCTATGATTACAACATACTCTGAATTCCCAAGAGACAGTGGCACACAGACAAGGCACATTTAGCACAACCTTCTGAGTTCATCTGCCATGGAATCACAGAAAGGCTCAGGTCAGAAGGCACCCCTGGAAGTGCCCTTGTCCAACCCTCCTGCTCAAGAAGGGGCATCTCGAGCCAGGTGCCCAGGAGCATATCCAGATGGCTTTTGAGCATCTCTAGGTCCCTGCAAACTTGTATTCAGGAAGTACAAGCACAGACAGTACATAGATTCTCAATTCCTTTTCTCTATTGTTATTTACAATTTGATCATGACAATAAAGCTGCACTAATGGAAGCAATTAAGGGCATACAAGTCGTTCTTTAAACAGTTTCTATTATTCAGAAATTACGTAACTTAAAGCAACTGCTTGCTGGCTTTGATTCCAGGTAAATTTATTTTGAATTTAGAAGGTAGACAGAGGACCTACTTTTCTGTAAAAATTTCCAGTCAC